GATAGAGCCGAACGAAGGTGGTGGTACCGATGAAGCCATCCAGGGCATAAGGGCCTGTAGCGCCATGAGCAGGGATTCGGAAGATGTCTTTCAGGACTGTAAAGAGAACTTTGATGGACGAGCAGCGAGTGCTACAGGCATACGAGGACAGACTAGGAGTTCGTCAAGCCCTACTCGATCCATATCAGCGGGGAGGCGAAAACCCTCTACCCACAGAGCATCACTACGTCTGGTAAGCGATACAGAGCAGCCACGCGCCTACATCCCACGCGGTGCACCAGGCCCGAAGGCAGACTTGCCAGTTGGGCATGCAGGTGAGAATGCACAACAGCGCTATGGCATTGTCCGCACACCAACCCCGTTCTACCGGCTCTCCATACCACCGTCTATCAGACTCGGGCCTCCAGAATCAGCTTCACGGCCTCTTCCTACGCTTCCCATCAAAAACGACTTCGAGACAACCACGTCATACCATCCGCATCCTGCGTATCCACTAGACGACTGGGCTGTGCGCACTCCCAGCCCCGTCAAATCGGTTCGGGACGGCATATCCACTCCGCCGCCGTTCAAGCGCAGAGAGCAAGGCCGGTCGGCTTCTGCATTGATGAGCGTTATTGCATCTGCTTGGAAACGTCGAGGATCGCAGACGCCAGATGGATCGCTGCGAACAGACGCTACGGAAGATGCGCAAAGACTGCTGTGATGTTGGGGGCGGAATAGAGCCGCGGTGGGCAGTGTGGTTGCAAGTACTCTGAAGCTGGCACGTTGACATTGCGAGATTGAAGCATAGGATGAGGCTGAGAGGTTGATAGAGCTCCTGATGCTGCTGTACGCTACTCAATCAACATTTGAGATGTCATGAGGTCAGGACGCGTAAGATGAAACGTGGGACGATTGCCGATCGGCACGATGATGCAAGGCACCGCGCCGTGATTCGCTCCTCCACAACCCCGCAAACTGCAGCTACCTCGAGCTTCCATCCCAGCTGACAGCTCCAACACTGTTGCGTGCTTCACGCTTCTTTGCGTATACAATAGCCCATAACTCATGATTTCGTCATTATAGCGTCGAGCATATTCTTTTGGTATCGATCTTGCGACGATAGTTCTTGAACTCCACCATGCGTCCCTTTACTGTCGCCGCTGCGGCGCTCCTAGCAAGCGTGGCAGATGCGTCGACTCTCCAACCACCCGTCCTTCCGTTGATCGTGCGGAACCCATATCTGAGCACATGGCTGCAAAACGCAAGGGAAGAGCCATGGAGCAAATGGCCCATGTTCTGGACTGGATCTGAGGTTGGGTTCAGTGTTATGGCGTCTGTCCCTGACACGAACGAAGTGTACCCGCTACTCGGCCGACCACATGATTCTCTCGAGCAAAAGGACAAAGAGTATGTTTACTCTAACCTTTCGGAGCGCAACCATTGCTAACCCCCGTCCGTACTAGTTACACGATAGCATACCCCATATACCGAGGTGCTAAATACGACGCGTCGACGACCAACCTTACGTACTCGATACCAGCGCCCGACGCACTAAGCTCAGCGAAAGACGTCGAGATCACCTTGTCCTTCCTCTCGCCCATCACACCGACCTCGACTTTGCGCCAGACCATACCGGCAGCATACCTGTCTATACACGTAGAAGGAACGTTCGATGTCAACATATACGTGGACGTGAACGGACAATGGGTCAGCGGCAAGAGGGAGAGCCTCATAGAATGGGGCTTATTCCAGCATGTCGCGCCGGGTCTGAATGATAAGCTGAAGACGTGGCAAGTCAAGCGACAGGTTGAGCAGCTCTTCACCGAGACGAACGATCAGCCCGAGTGGGGTCAGCTGCACTTTACTGGGCCAGTCGACGCGCGCCATGAATCGGGCACATCCGCGCTCTTGCGCCAGCGGTTTGCTCGAACCGGAACGTTGCAGAACGAGGTCGATGGGAACTTCCGCGCCGTCATGGATGAAGAGCCCGTGTTTGCGTTTGCGAAAGCCTTCAAGCTGGCAAACTCGTCCACCACTGGCTCCAAATCCAGCAGCAACAGCGACAGCGTGCTGTTTACGATAACCCACATCCAAGATCCAGTCACACAATATGCGTCTGCTCGCGGTCTCACGTTCATGCGGCCGTTGTGGAAGTCCTGGTTCCCTCAAGACGACAAGCTCATTCAATTCCACTACGGCGATTTTGCAATGGCAAAGAGCCTCGCTGGCAACTATTCGGAACAGCTGCGCATCGATGCCTACCAATCTGGCTCGACGAACTACGTGGATATTGTTGCCTTGTCTGCACGACAAGTCATGGGTGCCACGAGCTTCTCCGGAACCAAAGACAACCCGTTGCTCTTCCTAAAAGAGATCTCCTCTAACGGAAACAGTCAAACGGTTGATGTCATCTTCCCGGCTTTCCCGTTCTTCCTGTACACCCAGCCTAGGTGGTTGGCATATCTCTTGGAGCCACTTCTGGAACACCAGCTGTCCGGCCAGTATCCCAACAAGTACTCGATGCATGACCTTGGCGCACACTTCCCTAATCTGACAGGACACGCCGATGGAAGGGACGAGTATATGCCTGTTGAGGAGTGTGGTGATATGCTGATTATGGGTCTGGCACTGGTCAACTCGTTAAGCTACAACTCCGACGCACAAGCTCAGTCCATCTGGTCAGCTATCGGCAACGACGCAGACCGTAGTACTGATGCAGCAAACGCATTCTCTCTGAACGGCGTCGGACTGCACGATGGAGTTGATTATATTGATGAGACTTGGGGCGGAAGCACCAAAGGCATTGACCAAGCGAAGAAGTGGCTGGAAGGCAGCTATGACCTGTGGAAGCAATGGACGGGCTATCTTGTCGAAGACGCTCTTGAGCCCCACAACCAGCGTAAGCATTGACTCGCGATAGTTCAAACTACAAGCTAACGGGTATCACAGTGTGCACTGATGACTTCGCTGGCTGGCTGCCACTTCAAACGAATCTTGCCTTGAAGGGCATTGTCGGCATCAAAGCTTTCAGCGAAATCGCTGACCTCATGGATCGACCCGGCGACGCAAAGCACTACCGCAACATCTCCGAGACGTACATCAAGAAATGGCAAGAATACGGCATGTCACGCGATGGCACACATGCCAAACTCGCTTACGACTGGTACGGCAGCTGGACCACTCTATACTCGCTCTACGCCGATGCCGTACTCTGCTTCCACCCCACCATCACAAACTCGTCTTCCATCTCAGAACAACCAGATTACGCATCTGGAAACGATCAATCGCAACGACCCTTGTCACCCTCCAAACACTCCTCCAGCCGCTCACCCATCACCGAAGATTTCATCCCCGACAAAATCTACAACCTCCAGAGTGACTGGTACTCCACCGTGATGCAGAAATACGGCCTACCACTGGACTCTCGTCATCTTTACACAAAGTCCGATTGGGAGTTTGAAGCTGCTGCCGTGGCGAATAAGAAGGTGCGTTCTGAGATTCTTGATCGCGTGGCGCTTTGGTTGAATGAGACTGTTACCGATCGCCCGTTCACGGATCTTTATGTCACGGAGGGGGATGGGGGCTTTCCTGGGCCGTGGTTCTTTGCTAGGCCGGTTGTTGGGGGGCATTTTGCGTTTTTGACGCTCGAGAGGGCTTGTGGTGGTGGGGGGAAGTAAGATGGTGGAGGACGTTGATGAGTTAACATGAATGTGTAGAGGGTAGTCGACGGTGAGAAGACTGGACACTACGCAGATGCGACTATCCAACACCATTAGTCCAATATGAATTCGCAGCGCTATGTTGCAGCATGGTCTCCAGGGCTCATCGATCGAGGGTCTTCTGATCTAGCCGTATCCGGCGCAACCGAGGTACAACCTTCTAGCGCTTCAATGTATCTCTCCTAAACAACAATCCTCACACCTATCCACATTTGCATCAACATTTCCAACAAATAAACACGCGTCTAAAGTTACATGATGCCGTGTCCGGTATCATATGGCGGTCGATTGGAGTACTATACTCCGCATGGCTGAGTTGGTAAACGCGCTTTGTGCCGAATACGGCGCGCTCAAAGAAAGTGATGCCTCGCGTCGATGCCTTCGGAAGTTTTCGCCTTTGTCAGAGAGTTCCATATTAACAAAGAGTCTGCGGTATCGAATTGGTATCTTCTGCCAGCGAACCTTGGAGTTCTCGAGTCCTGCTGAAGATCACCATCACATCCTCTGAGCCACCAATTCAAGCATCAACTTCTCCGACGAATACCCAGACGACACCATGGTTCTTTATCATGCGAATGGAAGAGTTGTTGAAAAACACGATCAATACTTAGACGATGAAGCACGGAGTCTGGCGGATCATTATCGATACATTGACCAGGTTGACGTTTACAACCAAAAGTCTGCGGACGCTTCTAGTGATAACGTTGAAATCATTATCGACAAGCAAGAGTATAGAACGCTCTATTGCGAGAGGGAGGGATATTGGGAAACCATCAAAAAGTTCAGGCGGAAAAGCTCATACACTATTCCAACGACTGTTGATCGCGCTACTTTGAGGAAGTGTTCGACCTTCGCTGATGATCACTTCACATACAATCCGGGAGCCAAGACGCTTCATCTGCCAGTGCGTTATCCAAGACAACATCATGCTGCTCTGGGCGAGTTATCGACTCAGGACTTCGACATCAACTATCATTTTTGCGTTAGTGGAAAAAGACTCGCCGAACAACCTGATGATCAAATGGCGTTCATACGACCGGAGGAAATCAACGAATACGTCATTCCATGGCTACAAAAAATGCAAAAACAGATCAATCGCAAAGGAGATGAATTAGACAAAGAGGACGATGCAAGACCACCCAAGGAGACGAGGCGCGCACGCCAGCCAACAGGGCCTGACGGTGCTGTCACCATGGGAATTCCAGCTGCACTTGACGAAAAAATCCATCTATACAACGCTATGCTGCAGCTAGGCCTGCCCAAATCCGTGCAACTGGTAAGAAACAACTCCCCCGATGCATGCCTGTTTGCAAGACATAGACTGACCATACACCCAACGTTGTAGCCACTCATTGACAAAATCGTCATGCAGATGTACAAAACCAAGATCAATGCGTGTCATCTCGCCACCCTGGAGCATACTGTCGGGCGCTTTTACTCCAGGGGTGTTGCTGTCCTTGACCCAGTTCTTTGTCATTTCATCGGAACTTATCCTCGCAGGACCTTGCAAGATCGCAGAAAGGTCAGACCTCCACTTGAAAGCGATACTGAGTCATCAGATGATACGGATAAGCCCGGCGAACAACCGCCAGAAGAAGCGCAAGATGCTGATAATCAGTCGGGAGAAGAACCACCAACACCAGCACCAGAACCATTCGACTTCAAGAACTCGGAGAGAAAGTACCTCACTCACTGGCCCCATCCCGCGGGCCGTGCAAAACCCTATCACAAAGATACATTTCTTCTCCCCCCTGAGCTGCCTGTCATCGGTCATAGTATAAAGCATTGGTCCGGCGTCCGCAAGAACGGTAGTACAGCTGCGGCTCATGACGGATTTCCACTCAACATTGGAAAATACAAAAAGTACATTCGGAGGAACGCGACGGATGTGCTCGATGCAGATGACTATTATGAAGAAGAGACGAATCAATTGGCAGGTCGGAAGGACTACAAGGAGAACGGTCCCGGGGAGGGCGATTTATGATGTCGTGGTAGTACCAAGGCTACTGCCAGTATGCCGTAGTTCTTATTAAACCCCAATTCTCATCGCTTTTGTCACACATATCATTGTCCACCTGATACCCCATCTTCTTGCAACTTCCATTTACATGCTTCTATCAAGATATAGTGAGCGTCTCTTCCATACAAACATGACCTCGGCAGCTACCGGAACAAAGACAACGGTCGCGACGATCTGACCAAAAGTCCACTGCCCGTCCGGGAAGCTTCCACCAGCTGCTCGGATCATCACACTTTGTAGCTGTCGCAGCCGAAAGAACGCCCAGAACTGCACAACCAGTGCGATGGCGACGACAACATCGATTGCTAGTCTTGCATACAACCCAACAATACCTCCATCGAACGTAGAACAGCACTTTGTCAGCCAGGCTTGTTTATGATCCATGTCCTCCAAAGCGGAAGAAAGAATTTTCGAGATGACCACAATGGATAACAGCAGATAGCTGAGAATGCCAAACGCCGTGGTGAGGTTGCGTTCATGTGAGCTGATAGTGCTAACGCCTTCGAAACAGACGCCTGCGATCACGCTCCATTCTTCGAACTTTATGGCGGTGTTTGGCGAACTTCCGATTCGGCTTTCGCCTGCATTGGTCAGACAGTGTTCCTTTGACATAGTGTCGCCACTCACCAAAAGTCCCTCCCATGCGAGAGAAGAAAGGGCAAAAGCCCATAGCCCAGCATACCACAAACAAGACAAAACGTTGTCCTCTACGAGCATCGGAGAGAGGCCCGGGGTATCCATCGGCGCCGCTTCCTGGCTCTTCATATCTATCTTCTGGAACATCAGTACCACTAGACGACCGTCTCCTAGCAGCATCTGTTGCGCCGCCCTCCAAGAACATTTCCGGTCGCAACACCATTGGAAGGAGAGGCAGAAGCGTGAGCGACGAGACAAGCCAAGCAATCTCGACCGTGAACCCGCCCATTCCAACAGCGTTTACGCCAAAGTCAACCCCAGAAAGTGTAACAATGCTAGCAGTTTGAATCGCGAAGGTAAAGAAGATAGCGTTGTCGAAAAAGGTTCTTGTGGCGTTCGCGACTAACAGCCTCCCCATGCTCGGATGGCCTTTTGCGCTTCCTTCGAACCACATCGACGTGCCCACGAGACATGCGCATATGAAGCTCTCAAGTATATATCCAATCGCCATACCGATACCGCTGATGTCTGGATTCCCTGAGCCCCATAATGCTCCGCATACATTAGTTCTGCAATCCTTCACAAGGCTGAAGTCTCCGCCTGTGGCGTTGCGGAGTAGATCGATGTACGCTGTAAAGTCGGTTCGAGTGGAAAGAGCGAGACATCCCGATAGGTCCATTGTCGAAACCGGTATGTATCAAGAAGTAAGAAAGAGGAGATTGAAACGTTCGATATATTTATTGAGAGAGGTTGCCAGCCGTGATGCGGCTGAAGTCTGCCTTATCGCTCAGCTGAACTTCCCCTTCGCGCGATAAGCTTGGCCCCCAAACTTGTGGAGTTTCTAGACCGACGCCTCGTTGCGGCTGAGACCCACACACATGAGAAGAGGTAAATACATAGATCAGGTGTTTTCTCAAGGTTGGGTTCCAGATGGTTATCTCTTCCTTCTTGCTGTCAAATATGGAAGCGTTGCTTTCATACTTGCTCCTTCTCAATTTCATCACAATGACAAGCGCGCAATTTGTAAGAAACCCAACCTTCTATCAGCCAAACTAAAACTTACTCTACAGCTTGATACTACACTCGTCGCCTCTTCGTCATCTACATCGGACTCCAGTGTGTTTGCGGGACTAAGCTCTCTATTCAATGGCCAGCAATTGGTATTCGTTACCATAACGCGACCATCCACAACGACAACAACATCATCATCGTCGTCTCCCGTGCCTACGGGATTTACTTCAGCGAATCCATCTCCAGTTCCGACAGCTGTTCCGACAGAATCTCCATCTCCGCCAAATCCGACCAGTGCTCTACCACCTACTTCGGGCAAACCTTCAGGCTTCTCTACAGGTATTCGCACAATGCACAGGAACCTGGAAGACCCCCTCTATTTACTAATATCGGAACAGGTTATACAGTCGGTACAGCAGTAGGCGGCTCCGTTGGCGGTCTCCTTATTCTCTCGCTCCTTATCTTCTGGTAAGAGTCTCATTGTCGCATTGTCCACCTACGCACTGACTCATCAGGTTCCGCGCGCACAACAACAAAAAGAAAAAGTTACGACTATCTGTCAGTAGCGGGTCAGCGCTAGCAAATAAGCTTGAAGAAGAGAAGACGGAGAGTGTGAAGGCCAACGTTGTTGAAAAGAGAAAGCCACTGCCGATGAACCCTACTGCTTCTGGAACAGGAACAGGAACGCATGTGAGGAAGCTAGATAGCGGAAGAACTCTGAAGTCTACCAATACGCTGTGAGATGGTCACGTATCACATCAGTCCGTTGGCAGATTAAGCCGCCCAAACCACGAAATTTACAACTTTTTTTTTTCGATTATCTATGATGATGGAACTATATAAAATATCAGAGACCAAAAGCTACGTATTACGAGCACATGTGCGACCCGCGCAGTGCCCGGTTGGAACTTCGTATTGATGCAAATGGACTCATGCTCCCCCGACTATCTTCGCTCTTCGCTCCTTGTTTTCGGAAAGCTCTCAAAGTTGCGCCTGAGAAAAGCAATTGGGTATCGTGGATGGGCCGCTCGCACGTGAACACTTGATGCGCCGTGTAACTTCGGGGGTGCATGGCGACTTGACTGTGATGATGCGCTTGCGACGCATGCCTGTCTTGGGGCTCTCGGTCATGTTTGACCTGCCTCAAGAACTTGACATTCATCCGCTAGACAAGACAAGTGGTGGGTATGCTGAGAGACTAGAGGTGTGCAGCTTTGGCGCTTGGTTTCGTCTCTCATGTTTGATTTGGCGTTTTTCTGCTTTTATCTTTTTTTGGTAAGGTTTTCTTCCCTCTCAGGCAAAGAAGGTCTCAGCATCGTCGCGTACGTATCGCGAAGGAAGAGACCTGAGCGTTGGCCATGCTGGCAGAGCCTCCTGTGGTACATTGGGATGGCATGATCCACATGTGTTGGGATTCTGCTTGGCAAGATTGCACCGTATGCTTGGTGCTCGTGACCAATGCCAGCGTCTTGGGTGATGGCCGGCTCCATGCTGTGCAGACGAAGGCAGCGAGCTGCTCCTCTACTAACTCCACAAGGCCAATCGTACTGAATCCGTCCTATACCTCGCCATCAATGACGACACCCAGGTTAGCGGTGTCGCACTGACTGGTATAGTCTCCGTCTCTTTCTTTCTGCTCAATGCCCTTGCAAGAGCCTATGACCGTCTCACTCCTGTAGACTGTGTCATTGCAGTAAGGTTCAGGATAATTTTGTTCCCAACTCAAAGCTCTTCGTCCTCTTTGTTGTGATTTGGGCTTTGGTTTTGAGCTTCATCGTCCTCGTGGATGTCGGTATCGTCCCAATCTACCTCAACATCGTAACGTTGAGATACTGTAGATAGAGGCTTGTCCGGTCGCACTGCTTTGATGGCCGGAGCCGCAGGCTCGTGCGAGGATACTTGATATCCTCCAGGTTCGTCACGACCTGGTGAGGCCTGGTGAGGACTCAAGGACGGATCCATCGCCGTCTCTTGTGTCACGACAGACCCAACGTTTGCGACTTGTGTAGATAACGTGGCATCGATGGCTCCTTGAGATACATCGTCTTCGCCAGTGACATCGCTGCTGCCCTTATTGTCAATCTGTCCAACTTGGGAGTTGGGACTGTCATGACGCGAAATACGTCCATCCTTGACCTTCGACGGTGGCGATTCTCCCTCTTTTTGCGAGACACGAGGACCTGGAGACTCAGCATGCATCAAAGACTGTAACGAGCTTTCCGCTGCAAGCGCAAGTTCAGACAGATAATGCTCGCCATTGCTGCCAGGTGTCGCTGCTCTTCCCGCGGGAGATGCCAATGTTGGTGTGATCGGCGGGAGTGGTGCCGTGGAAGCATAAACTTTTGCCATTCCCCGCGTTGCAGCTGTCAACTTACGCTGCGCTGCTTGTTGAGCTGCAGCTCGAGCTGCGAGAGGACTATAGTCGAATGTTGACCAGTCAATGATGGTAGGGTCGTGTGTGGTTGTAGTTGTCTGTTCTGGGTCTTTGAGCCAGTCTATACGACATGTTTTCGAATAGTCGAACCAACCAACAACGCCATCATCCTCTCGCGCACCGTAGGCCATTCGGGTCTCCGCACCGGTGTTGGGGTCGATGTCGAAAACGCCGTGCTCGTATACTACTACGGTAGAGCTGTGCGTGATCGAGATGCAGCCGCCTTCTTTCAAGGTTGCACTAGGATGCCATGATTCCAAGACGCGTCTGTGTTCCGGCTTGGGCGTGACTTGGCTCATCCAAGCGGGTTTGTTCCCATAGAAACGCACTGGCTGCGTGTCTGGAACTCTGATGAGCTTGAGGTACTCTGCTGCTAGAAGAAGTCCTCGCTCGGTAGCGACGTGAACCTTCCCATTGTAAAGATAGAGATCACAGTCGCCAATATCCCTAGTGGGCTCGACTTTCGAGGCATCTTTGCGGCCAAGGTCGTCGGATGTCCAAAACTTCTTCCTGGATAGGCGAAGCGCTTCTTGCCGCAGAACAAGCATCTTACGACCAAAAACATGAACCTCGTTGTCATCAGTGAAGGAGCGTTTCAGCCTGTCCGAAGGCTCATCCATAAGCTCGAATGGGTACTGATGTTTAATCGTATGAGAGCATAGGAGGGGTATGCTGTAAACGTCGTAGTCAAAAAAGGTAACTCCTTCATCTGGGAAGCTATCCTGACCGGCGTACAAGTGGTGATCATCCAGAGACTTCTTGATCTTAGTATTCCGTCTCTTTATAGCCTCGTGGCTCGCTTTGGTCTTCTTGCGCGAAGCTACCTCGGGATTCTCTAATTCCACAAGCTTCCGCTTCCTGCGCTCAGCCGGCGGCGTGACTG